TTTTTTTTTTTTGAGATGGAGTCTCGCTCTGTCGCCCAGGCTGGATGGAGTACAGTAGTTCAATCTCGTGGATGACCTCAGGTGATCCACCCACCTCGGCCTCCCAAAGCGCTGGGATTACAGGCGTGTGCCACCACACCCCACCAAGGTCAAGAACTTTTAATTCCACTCCTACCTTCCAAATACCATTGGTTTGTAGGGGGAGGGAAGGTAATGAGGGCAGAGTTTGGACTGGGACCCACTAAAGTTCTAGATTTGGCCTTAACAAATATCTGTGTATGTGATCTTAAACAAAACACACTCTGCCTCTGGTGTCATCTGCTAAGTGATTATATCCAATTTATCTTATTCTCAAAACTAGCAAGAGGGTTAGACATGACTGTTGTGAAAGTACTTCTCACAAGGTACATGCAAATGTAAGGAACTCTTACCTTAACCAAATGAGTATTAACTCATCCCCAAATAAAACCTAACAACTTAAGTAAAAAGCAAGAGGTTAAGAAAAACAGAAAACATGCCTATAGAACACCATACTTTAACTTCATTTCTCAATCAGTCCTAAGAGGAACCCCTGGATTTAGGGGCAGAAAGACAGGAAAGGTTTTAGAAGACTGAATCCCATGTTGTAAGCACCAAATAGAAAAAATATTTGGGCTGGGTGCGGTGGCTCACACCTGTAATCCCAGCACTTTGGGAGGCTGAGGCAGGCGGATCACCTGAGGTTGGGAGTTCAAGACCAGTTTGACCAACATGGAGAAACCCCGTCTCTACTAAAAATACAAAATTAGCCAGGTGTGGTGGCACATGCCTGTAATCCAAGTTACTCGGGAGGCTGAGGCAAGAGAATCACTTGAACCTGGGAGGCAGAGGTTGTGGTGAGCCAAGATCGTGTGACTGCACTCTAGCCTATGCAACAAGAGCGAAACTCCATCTCAAAAAAAATAGAGGCCGGGTGTAGTGGCTCATGCCTGTAATCCCACCACTTTGGGAGGCCAAGGCAGGTGGATCACCTAAGGTCAGGAGTTTGAGACCAGCCTGACCAACATGAAGAAACCCCGTCTCTACTAAAAATACAAAACTAGTCGGGCATGGTGGCACATGCCTGTAATCTCAGCTACTTGGGAGGCTGAGGCAAGAGAATTGTTTGAACCTGGGAGGCAGAGGTTGCAGTGAACCAAGACTGCATCATTGTACTCTAGCCTGAGCAACAAGAGCAAAACTCCATCTTAAAAAAAAAAAAACCTGAAAGGAGACATTCCTAGATTACAATACACTACTTCTACTTCCAAGTTGGAGAGGACTGAATTATAGCAAGGATTTACACCAGGCAAGAAGAAAAAGTTGGAAAAAGAAACTAAGTTGAGGCCGGGTGCAGTGGCTTATGCCTGTAATCCCAGCACTTTGCGAGGCCAAGGCAAGCGGATCACAAGGTCAAGAGATTGAGACCATCCTGGCCAATATGGTGAAACCACGTCTCTACTAAAGAATACAAAAATATTAGCTGGGCGTGGTGGTGTGCACCTGTAGTCCCAGCTATTCGGGAGGCTGAGGCAGGAGAATTGCTTGAACCTGGGAGGCAGAAGTTGCAGTGAGCCAAGATCACACCACTGCGCTCCAGCCTGGCACCTGGCTACAGAGTGAGACTCTGTCTCCAAATAATAATAATAATAATAATAATAATAATAATAGTAATAATAAAATGAAAGAAACTAAGTGAGTTGCTACCTTAGGAAGGGAAGAGAAGAGATCTACAATGATTTATGAGCATCTTCTAAATAAGCTCACAGAGCAGCTGGGTTTCCTTTTTTTTTTTTTTTTTTT